TTGAATTGCAGTAATGGCAGGTGTGGACACTTGCTATTCCATATCTGTCTGCATTCCTCAGCGCTTCTTAAAAATTCTCTTAAAGAAGGTTATACTTTCCATTGACACCAAAGTGATAGCTCAGTGGTTCAAAGGAAAAAAGTTGACTCCTGATACAAACCAAATGAGAAGCTAACTTAATGTTAATTTGAGGGGGGAAGGAAAAAGCAAACATGAAGCCTGAATATCTGTCTGTTGGTTGTAAGGTGGGACTGTTCATAAGAATGAAATTGGAGCAACTCTTCCTCCATGACAGGGAGGAAACAGCATGGATGAAATTTGTAAATGTGCTGCACAGGTCTTTGTGCACAGTTACTCTTGCTTTTAGGAATAGAGCGTCTTTCTTTCTTCCCCTCAACATTTTTAAAAAAGTTAACTTTCCAAGACCATGTCATGGCTAGTTGCTCTCAACATATAGAAGTCAGTCTGCATATGAGAGAGGTCTTGAGTATTTTGCCTCTCTCTATTCAGACCTGCTTTGGAGCAGCTTTCTGAGTGTGGAACGTTCAGTATGAAATCAGTGGAAGCTGAGACCCTAGTGCCTTTTATACACCTCAGGTCTAGAAGGGCAGTGTCTGCAATCCTTGATGGTCACTTCTGTCTAGAGTTTTCTGCTTGCAGCTCTGAAACATACGGAGCGGAGGTTTGGAGAATGTGGATCTGCTGTGGCCTAGTTGACTGCTCACTTGGAATCTGAACTTGAATGTTTGGCTTAGTTTGGCTGATCCCGTTTTAAACCTGAATTTCATCTCTGCTTTGGGAGCCAGACTTTAATACAAATGTTTAATCACAAGGTAGCTTTGCTAAATCCTGGCTGAATAATTGACGTTTGAAAGGAAAAATAAGTGAAGAATGCTAAATCTGCTGCGGCCTGTGCTTGTTCTGATGCTCCCTAATCTTGCCAAAATTACATGAAAGCCACCAATTCACAACAGCATTTCTTTTCACAGCAAAGGAACATAGAAGCTGGCAATGGGATTCAAACTGACAAAAGATTTCCCCAAAACAGCCTCTTCCTTTCATGCTCTTTGTCTATTTACCATTACTCATAACCTAATAATCCCTTTTGCATTCTGTAGTTGGGAATTTTTCCTGCTTATTGAAATGATTTAATAGTACATCTTTTTTTGCTTCTCTCTGTGCTTGTAAAAAATCAACTGAAGAATTTATATGTATTTTATTTTTACATGTATAAAGCTAAAGAGGTGTCTCAGTGGTACTAGGGAACCAGTTTGACTCCTAATCCAAATCAAAAGTGAAGTTAGTTGACTTGAATTTTTTTCATGTTAGCGTGCACGTATTTGTGCACTGACAACAACCCACTGGCTGGATGGCCGAGCTCAGAGGGTTGTGGTCAGTGGTGCGGAGTCTAGCTGGAGGCCTGTAGCTAGCGGTGTCCCCCAGGGGTCAGTCCTGGCTCCAGTCTTGTTCAACATATATTCATCAATGACCTGGAGGAAGGGGCAGAGTGCACTCTCAGCAAGTTTGCTGATGATACTAAACGGGGGGAGGAGGGGTGATTGACACACCAGAAGGCTGTGCTGCCCTTCAGAGGGACCTGGACAGGCTGGAGAGCTGGGCGGAGAGGAACCTCCTGCAGTTCAACAAAGGCAAGTGCAGGGTCCTGCATGTGGGGAGGAATAACCCCATGCAGCAGTCCAGGCTGGGGGTTGACCTGCTGGAAAGCAGCTCTGCCAAGAAGGACCTGGGAGTGCTGGTGGACAACAAGTTAAGCATGAGCCAGCAGTGTGCCCTCGTGGCCAAGAAGGCCCATGGGAGCCTGGGGTGCATTAGGCAGAGTGTTGCCAGCAGGTCGAGGGAGGTGATCCTGCCCCTCTCCTCAGCCCTGGGGAGGCCTCCCCTGGAGTACTGTGTCCAGTTCTGGGCTCCCCAGTACAAGAGAGACATGGCACTCCTGGAGAGAGTCCAGCGGAGGGCTACCAAGATGATTAGAGGGCTGGAGCACCTCTCCTAGGAAGAAAGACTGCAAGAGCTGGGCCTGTTCAGCCTGGAGAAGAGAAGAT